TAGAAGGCCCCCAGCCCACCGCCAGAGGCAGGGATAAGTCACAGCCCTGCAGGTGGAGACAGAAGTGGCAGCGGGGAGAGCGCGTCTTCCTCCTGGGGCCAGGGGCCCACCCCGTGGTACAAAAATATAGGATTTCGGATCGGAAGCCCCTGTCCCTGGAGGTGATCTGGGGCCTCACATCCGGGTGCCTCTGGCTTGTAATAGCTAGAAGATAAGAGGGGGGAAGGGGCAGGAGGAGAGGAGGGGTCAGAAGACCAGGGCCAGTGAGGAGAGTCAAGGGGAGAGGGGAGGAGAGAGGGGGAGAGAGAGCAGATGAGTCACAGGCTGCTTCTGGAGGGAGAGTGGGGCTGAGGCCCCCAGAAGGTGGAGTCAGAACCAGAACAGGAGGAGAGGGGGAGGGGCGGCCAGCTAACCCATGGCCCCCAAGCTTCCAAGCCCCATGCCTTGCTTGGGCTGGGTGGCGACTGTTTGGAGAGGCCACTGGCATGGGGACAGGGCTGGGAGAGGCCAAGTCACTGCTGTCTTAGGGAAGAGGAGTCACTGAACAGCTGTTCCCATTTTAGAACCAAATGTGGCCCAGAGTGGGATAATGACTTGCCCAAAGTCACACAGCTGGCGGATAAGACGGAGGGGGCTCAGGGCACCTGGCCAGGGCTTTGCTACCGAAGCCCCACCTTAACCAGCTCTGGCTTACTCCTCATTGGCCAAGGGTGTCCATGGGTGGCCTGGCCCACCCACCTCATCAAAACAGGGGACCCGGTGCTCCACCAGTGCTGGGAGCTCTTGGGGTTGAAGGGACAAGGTCTTGACTCTAGCCTCCCTCCCCAGCCTAGCTCAGTGGATGGCAGCAGGCAGGCAAGGACCCCACCTCTTGGCTTTCTGTTCTCAAGAACTTCACCCCTAGACCCAGACAGTGCAAAAGACTTTGGTGGGTGGGAAAGTGAGTGGGATGAAAGCCCTGGGCTCCAGGTCCCGGAGATGTACACCCTCTTGGCCTCCGCCCCTCCCTCCGTTCCTCCGGGCTACCAACCAGGGATGGCAGCTCTGGGGGTGGGCGCGGGGCCGGGGAGCAGGCTTGGAGCTGGGAGGGTGCAGACAGGGACCTGCAAGGAGGAGAGGTGAGTGGTGGTGGTGGTAGGAGCTGGGCGTGGTGGCGCCTGGGGATGAGGCCAGCCTCAGAGGTGCCCAGTGGCTGTGGCGGGGCTGGTAGGCACACAGCAGGCACGGCTGTGCTCCTCCTCCCCAGGCCGGGAGGCGGGAGGGACCAGGAGGGGCACAGAAGGCGGCGGCAGGCAGGATGCTCTGGAATGCGGGGCTGGGGGGCCTGGGACCAGGGCAGCCCCAGGATGGAGGTGCGAGCAGGCAGAGAGGAAACTCGGACAGGGGCAGAGAGGGAGGAGGCAGGGTGCAGATGAGGTCCAGGAGGAAGAGAAGGTGGATGAAGATGAGGCGGGACCTCCAGCGGGAAGCGGAGGAGGCGGTGGTGGGAGGGAGGGAAGGTTAGCGGGATCCTGAGATGACTGGGCTGCAAAGAGAAAGTGAGAGAAGGGCTGGTTATGCAGGCGGGCACGGGCCAGGCACTGAGCTAACCCTGCAGCCCGCCCCCCACGGCCTGGCCGGCTGCAGCTGGCTCCAGCTGGGAGAGGGCAGAGGTCCGCTTGCTCGCTCGCTCGGCTGTTAGCAATCCTCCTCCTGGGGGTGGGCTGCACCTTTCTCCTGGGCATCTGCCTCCACCTGCACCTGTGCCACCTGCACCTCCTCCACCTCCTCCTCCTGCCGCCGCTCCTCCTCCAGCTGCTCCTCCGC